CAAAGTATATTTTATTCTTAAAATTGTGTTCTTGTTTCTAAAATCATTACATGGTTCTAACAAACTCAATCGCATTATTTAGAAACTATTTATTCTTGGATTTAGAATTACAAATTTGAAAATTCGCCGGCAGGCGGCAACACTATGTATAAGGGCCCCTTAGTAATATCAAGATGTCGGAAGAGTATGGGTGTAGTGAATGACGTTTGACGATGGTTTTGTCAGTGAACTGTTGCATTCGTGGAACATACCTCTGAATGTGGTTCAATCTTTAAGGATGGATGAAATATTCAGCTCGTCCTCTGTCAATTATATTGCAAATGGGAATGCGTGAACAGCCGGCCGACGTTGTCACTGCGACGCGACGAAGAGACGGTTGCCTACACGCGGGCGGATTTTCCGCGGCGGATTCGCGGATCTGCTATCCACAGTTAAATGGGAGAGATGAGCAATGAATCCGCCGCGGCGGATCCGCCTGTGTGTGCAGCCAGTGTTCTCTACCATTATGACGAGGTTGACCGTCTGTTTGCATCATTATTTGCAATATAGCTAACGGAGGTATTGGTAAAGCGGTCTCTTGCCTTTGAATCACATTAGTAGAGTTTGATTCAGTTTTTCCTTGAGAGCTTGTATTCCGTGCACATTAGGAGGCATGCTCTATATAAATGTGGCACTTCATTTACAAAGCTGTCGTCACTTACTGCAGCATTGGTTTCTGTCATCTTGATATTACTGGAAAGCATACTGGGAGCTTGAAATAAGTTGACAAAAGGTATCATTGAAGAAAAAATAATGCTAATACAAGCATACCATTTAATGAACGAGTGCAACTTTATTCTTTTATTGAAATAAAATTTGTTTTGAACTAAGAATATAATTTATTTTATTTTAAGACTAATTTATTTTTAATTGGAAATTGTTTATTCTTGGCGCTATTTTAAGCATAAAATATTCTTCGATTAAAGCATTTATGCATTCCTTTAAGAATTCATTTTTTTGTGTGAGAATATATTAATTGTAACTATTGTAAGACTTCTTTTTTTTTATCAACAGAGTTATCAACAGAGATCATAATTGTAGAAAAAAAAAAATTGTAATTTTGCGGCAACATATAAAATATTATAACTTTTAAAAATTTTTTGCACGCTGTGATAGCGTCGTGCAAGCATTATGTTAGCCATGGTGGAATTCCACCATGATGTCCTGCAACAGTGTCAGTACGTGAACATCATAATGCGTCAATCATTGCGTCTTAACCAAATTAAAATTGAATATAATTGCAGGCTTATTATCGCTGTGGTATTTTGAAAAATAAAATTTCGCACGTGCTATCGTCATGATATACAGTTGAAGTGTTTTGTGTGATTTTACGCGTATAAATGTCGATTCCATTATCATTTCTCACTGGTAAATGATTGTTTTATTTGCATTGCAAACACTACGTAAACGCTCAATTAACGTTGCTTCATTCTATCTTAGTTATGTAACGAACGAAAAAAAAAATAGAATGAAGTTTGCAGCGTAAGCGCCCAAAGCGGATGGACCTTCATGTCTACGAGCGTCATACGCTCCTAAACGTCGAGCGGCATTTGAAGTAGAGCTGGTGATTTGCTTCGAAGGCTTCGACATTCGAACTTCGAAGCTCCGAAGATTCGAAGCTTTGACATTAAAATCTTCGATGTTTCGAAGGTTCGAAGGTTCGAAGGTTCGAAGATTCGTCGATACTTCAAACTTCAAAGCTTCGAACAATCAAAATTATATCATTTATATTATTAATTTAATATAACAGTAATAGTATCGTAATAGGTACACGAAATTATATGACAAAATTTGAAATGAAATATTTAAATGTTATAATTACATCGTTAAATTAAAAAATACATAAATTTAATCACTTTTATTGATTTTATGATTTTATTAGAATCTTCTGTCCTTTATTTTGTTTTATGCTAAGAAAGACTTACAATTAGTGAAGTCAAAATGTTCGTATTAATTTGTTACAATTTTATTATTTTATTTAAATAAATTAATTTTTACTTTCTTAATTTTCTTAACCCATTAAGGTTCATGTCTAATCCAGTAAGAGCCAAAAAATCACAATTGGAAATAGAACTGGCTACTAAAGAAAATATAATATTTCTGACATAAAAAGTATATTGCAAAAATTAATTTTATAACTAATTATTATAAACAAATAAATAAAGTTATAGAGGAAAACTAATTACGCCAATCAAATTCCGGAATAATTACTAAAGAAACATGTGAAACTTTCTTAAATCGTTTATTTGTTATATTTATATATTCACACAGATTCGAATTTACATTTTATATACATTTATTTTATCATAATAATCGACATTGTTTTGGACCTCTCAGAAATCATAGCCGCTTATAGACTGTATTTCTTATGTTTATTTTTATTTTATTGTAATTTATCAGGTTTCTTAAATATATTATCATACTATATGATTTATTATATATTTTAATCACTTTCATTGATTTTACAATCTATCATCCGATTTTCTGTTTTTAAAATTATTATTTTATGCTTAAGAAGATTTACAATAAATTAAGTCGAAACATTCATATTAATTTACTATTTCTTGTTCATTCATTTAGAATAAATTTATTTTTACTTTTTTATTTTTTTAATTGGAATGTTTTATTGAGCATTATCTTTTCTTACAAGTGTATCGAGTCTGACTAATTATTAATATGTAATATTCAGGTTATAATACTTACTTAAATTTTTTAAGAATACCATAGTTTTGATGCATATACGAGGGTCGTCTGAAAAGTTTTGAGCCTAACATAGAAATAAGTAATTTTTCGGTCAAATTCAATTTTATTTTTTCACATAGTCTCCTTTTAAGTCGATACATTTTTTCCAGCGATGCTCCCACCCCTTTAATCCACTCAAATAATACTGAGCGTCTTGCTTTGCAAAATAGGCGTCTACGAATGTGATGACCTCCTCGTTCGATGAAAATTTCTGTCCTCCGAGCCAAACTTTGAGCCTAGGAAACAGAAAAAAGTCGCTGGGGGCCAAATCTGGTGAATACGGTGGATGGTCAATTAATTCGAACTGCAATTCGTGAATTTTTGCCATAGCGACCGCCGAAGTGTGAGACGG